CAGCGAGTAATTGATCCCAGATGCAGTACGAGTATGCGACATGGTCAAGCGACCGCTGCTCCTTGCAGTCCAGTGTTGCAGAGTGTATTTTATAATAAGAGACAGTCCATCTCTTACCTTAGCAGGATAATTAAGGAAAATCCTGCTCCCACTTTATTACCATAGTAAAGATAGTGGACATTGTTGTCTATGCGTAAGACAGCAAGATTCAAACATTCTGCTTTGCCTCACGGAGGAAGTGGCAAGGAAACAAAAGTACTATGTCAGCTTTTCCTTTGTGCTAGGGGCAGTAACGGCATGGGGTGCTGTGGCATCTTCAGATTACTACTGACTCGACTGAGAGTGACACTGACGCCAGGATAACCAACAAAGAACGATCTGTGCGTTAGTGTGAACAAAGTGTCTCATAAAACACAATAAACACTTAAGAGAAGTGTGATCAGCTTCTTTAGTGATAAGATTGTGAACAATAAAGACAAATCTTGTGGAACATAGTGTACCAGTGTGTGTATTCCTAGGGCTATGGAAGACGTGGAATCCAAGGACACTTCAGCTTCTATCAAGTCACCGATATCTGTCGAAGGTGTGAAGAACACCACAGCTCAAGCTACAAGAGCAAGGTAGGTTACGAATTTCTTGTAGTATGGGGGACTGCACAGTTCTTGAGTCGCAAGGAGTTTGTAATCAACCTATAGTCGGCAGTAAGGTGCGGACTTTTGAGTCCACACAAGTAAGTTTGTCAGCCATCAGTGAATGAAATATGCTGACATAACACCCCCTAGGGGTAATTTATAATCTTACAAATTATGATCTATTCCAGCCCGTTGAGAGATGATCATGACAACAATTCAAGATCTCGTCTGCAGGGGCGGCTGTGTAGACGATTTGCTGTCTTTTATCAGCTAAGTGTTCCCTATATTTAAATTTATAAATTTTATCTTAGTTGGTAAACCCATTTCTCAACAATTAGCATATATTGTAAATAATGTATTATCAAGAATATTGTGGAAAATTACATTTACCTGGATGTATCTCATTAGATACTTATCTTATCTTATACATACCAGTAAATGGTAACAAAGATAATTATTATTTATCAAAGTTACAGAGACAAGTAGGAATTTCTGGGACACCTAGGTCGAAAAAAAAATGTCCCCCTTCGATACCTACCATAATCTATCTCTCCACAAATTGCTCTAGACCTATTAATTGCAAATGAAATATACATTACCAGGAATTCTGGTAAAATTTAATAAAAACTTGTGGACTATATTAAAATTAATAAATGATTACATATACACATTTATATAACAGAAGAATGTATAATTATAACACTCGCCAATTAGTCTGGAGATTACAGTGTCATGTACAGAAACCCCCCCTCTACCTAAATTTATGATGATAATACTGGCCAGAATTACAAACATAATTTAGATAGTTTATCTGAGGTTCCTTGAGATGTCCTGTCTATCTGCTGCTCAAATTATGCAGAACTGCACATCCAACAAATTTTGGCTCCTATTTGAGAGGTTTTAAGCCCAATATAACCCTAGAGCGACGAAAATTATACACCTTACACTAACGTGTTTGTACTACATTAAAAAAAAAAAAAAAATGGCGACTCCTCCCTGCTCGTCAGTGCAGGCGCAGGGCCTCCCTGTCGGCTCCATTCTCTAAAATACACTTTTAATCAGATTTATTTACACAGCATAAATTTTGGGAATTTTTTCCCCAAATATTCAGCATTTTGACACTTGGGGTTAGATTATTTATGGGGACGCACTACAATTAAGAAGTAATGAAGTTTGATCCTAGCAAGGGAAATCAGTTCCAATTCCCTATAACGAGAGTGCTTCGCTGGCATCAAGACTGCCCTTTAAAGTTAAGGGGGTCACAGGAGTTCGTGGACTGGTCGACCGTTCCCAGAGGACCGCGGTCCTCTGGGAACGTTATTTGCTAGAACGCCTCCTCTTTTCTGCAATTTTAAAAGCTCCTAATAATGTGTTGATTGTAACACGAAAGGCCTAGAGCTATTATTCTACTCCCCCCGTGGTTGTTTTGCATCTTATAGCTATATGTTTAGGTGAGGCAGGTAGAGTTAAAGAGATCGGTCTAAATGTATCAGGTTGTTGGGGCTTAAGGATAGGCAGAGTGAGACTATTGGTCCAGGAAGTAGGAAGAACTCCCTCAATGTAACTGAGATTATACAGTGCCAACAAAGGATCATCAGGCACTTGCCTAGGAGTCCCGAGAATATCATAGGTTATACCATCCTCTCCAGGAGTAGTTGATCGTCCTTCAAATAATGCATTATCTAATTCATACTCGGTGAAGAGGCAGTCATTCTCATCAATATTTTGGCTCATAAAATTAATCAGTTTCAACATTTCTTCAGAAGCACTCTAATTTTTTTCTAATATGAGATGGAAGATTTTCATGCCTGGATGTTTTGGACCAGTCATTTATGAGGTCATTTACTTTTTCAAGAAGAAAGGGATGAGCAACATTGCCAGTCTTTTTCCTGGTTATTTTATTTATACTTTTCCAAGCCAGACTTACAGACCCATAGCTCGATTGCTAGCGCACTCAGCTCACACACTGAGGTCTGGGTGGAAACGTTAGTACGTGTTTCAGTAAGACACCTGCTGTCCGTATTCAGGTTAGGTTAAGTAAGTTTCGTCAGGAAACAGGACAAGTGTTTCCTGACGCGGGTCTTAGATGATGACCCGATGTCGGAGCTTTTGGTCATCTGACCGAGGACTTCCGCTGGCTTACCGGCCCAGCGGAAGTCCTCGAGTATCTTCCCATCTGGAGGCAGGAAACACACAAACACCGGCCCACCCCTTTAAAAATTATGGTCATAATTATAACCATTTTTCTTTTTTGTCTATGTTCACCCATCAGTAAAATGGGTACCTGGGTATTAGTGGACTGATGTGGGTCGCATCCTGGGACAAAACTGACCTATTTTGTGAGAAATGCTCAGCATAACAAGTGACTTTCTATATAGTAGTATGTTATTGATGTCAGCTAGGACTGTATACCTTGTACATGTACTTGTAGAAACGAAGATTATTATCATTGCTATGATCACAAACATCAACAGTAAAGTGTGCTTAGCCTGGTGGCTAAAGCTCCCGCTTCACACACGGAGGGCCCGGGTTCGATTTCCGGCGGGTGGAAACATTTCGACACGTTTCCTTACACCTGTTGTCCTGTTCACCTAGCAGTAAATAGGTACCTGGGTGTTAGTCGACTGGTGTGGGTCGCATCCTGGGGGACAAGATTAAGGACCCCAATGGAAATAAGTTAGACAGTCCTCGATGACGCACTGACTTTCTTGGGTTATCCTGGGTGGCTAACCCTCCGGGGTTAAAAATCCGAACGAAATCTTATCTTATCTTATCTTATCAAGGGGAAGCGCTAAACCCGGAGGATTATACAGCGCCTGGGGGGGGATGTGGAAGGCATTCAGGCTTAATTCGGGGAACTGGAGCACAGATCCAATTCCCTAAATCAAGAGCCCCTCACCAACATCAAGGAACCTTCCTTGAGGGGAGGAATTATATATAACTCCTCCGCGCGAGCTGACCAATGTAAATGAACGACTTAATAAAATATAATTTATTAAGCCAGCTAACAATTTACTTGATAATATTTTAGTAAATATCTTCGAAGTTCTTAAAAAGAAACTTTATATTTTATTAATAATTACATAAAATCCTTAAATTTTAAGAAGCAAAGTTTAAATTCTTTTTACATATTTATTCTTCCTTAATAATCGTTACAAAATTTCAATGCATTTGATAACTTTTTGTATACTCGTTTTGAGTAATATATTTGTAAAAACAGAAACCTGAAAACATTTTTAAGGAAAGCATTTATATTTCGTTATCAATTTTTTTTATTAAACATGGAATTTCCCGTGGCTCGATGGGCAGTGGACTCAGCATACATTCTGAGGGTCCGTGGTTCGAGACCTGGCATGGGTGAAAACATTGGGCATATTTCCTTACACCGGTTGTCCATGTTCATTCTATTATAATCTAGGTGACTTGCCGGAATGGATCCCGGACCCGGTCTCTTCCAATTTGGTGACCCGGGCATTGGTTCCCCGGGTAGGGCAGTGTCGTTCATCTTTGTTACTCTTGCACGACAGTCCTTCGGTGGGAAGAGGGGTTCTTTGGACAATTATGTCCCCAAGTCAGTTAGCGCTATTGATAGTTGCTGTATGGTGCAACAGGTCCTCAGCAGGCCTTCACAGCGACTTCAGCGGGGAGGGGGGGGGGGTGACTTGCAATGACTAGGAGTAAGATCTCAGTCTCTGATGACTAGGTACATTAGATGTGATGCCTCATCCTCCCAGGCCCGTCCTACTGGGGTCACTGGGAAGTGTCTGCGGCGATCCATGTTCACTCATCAATAAAATGGGTACCTAGGTGTTAGTCGACTGATGTGGGTCGCATCCTGGGACAAAATTGACCTAATTTGCCCGAAATACTCTACATAACATATGGTGGCTAAAGCTCCCGCTTCACACACGGAGGGCCCGGGTTCGATTCCCGGCGGGTGGAAACATTTCGACACGTTTCCTTACACCTGTTGTCCTGTTCACCTAGCAGCAAATAGGTACCTGGGTGTTAGTCGACTGGTGTGGGTCGCATCCTGGGGGACAAGATTAAGGACCCCAATGGAAATAAGTTAGACAGTCCTCGATGACGCACTGACTTTCTTGGGTTATCCTGGGTGGCTAACCCTCCGGGGTTAAAAATCCGAACGAAATCTTATCTTATCTTAACAAGCGGATTTCTATGTAGTAGTACGCTACTGATGTCAGCTAGGTCTGTATACATTGTACATGTACTTGTAGAAATAAAGATATTTGTGCGAAATCGCCTGTATGAACTCCAATATTACGTTCATACAAGCAATTTGGGTAGGATGCAACTAATGTAATTATCACTTAACAATTTGTGTGGCATCTCTGAGGTAGGTGGGGGTTTAAGACAATTTAGGTAACAAGGAAATCATCGATACAGAGAAGATTAGCATGGCCCCTGCGCAAGGATGACACGCAAAATCGTGAAGCGTTCCACATTTTTTAAAGGACCCCAATGGAAATAAGTCACTCTGTCTGACTTTTTTGGGTTATCCTAGGTTCTCTACACATATGCTGCTATGTATGATAATTCTGTGTAACTGTATTTGTGTATACCTGAATAAACTTACTTACTTCGATACCCACCACCTCAATCTTCACTCGCGTCAGCCGGGACCTAAAATATTGTACATTACATTTAAACTTAAACAAAACCAGGAATTTTGGTTTGATTGGTTGTGGACTGTATGGGTTTTAGGGAGTGACTGAAAGTAATGAGAGGGGGGGGGGGCTCCATGACATACCAACATTATAACACATAAATTGGTATAATTATTGACAAACTTTGGGATACCACTTACCATATTTTCTCTGGAGGTCGCTAAGTGCAGCTGGATCACTTACACCTCCCTTACTATACAGAACCTAACTGGCCAGTTAGCTCTACTTAAAAGGACTGTTACTTAGCTTTGGGTGGTGATGGCTCTCTTATTTTCCTCCATATACACGAGATTCCTTGATGTCCTGCCAATTTCTTGTCCTTAGTTTATCAGCAGGAGTATATCATTATTTCACAATTGTATTTTGAGGCTTGTAACCCATGAAACCTCGGAAAACGCAGACTTTCTGGCACAAATTACAAAGTGCTCTCACCAATTGAATTCAATATGGTGTCTTCTCCCTCAGCTCCTACCGTACCCACAACACACCTTTTTTTTGTTTTTCAAAATTTCTCCAAGGGTCAAATCAGCATCATCTTAATACACAATTATTATTTTATACAAAATTACACATGCTGACTTCCGAAAATTATTATTCTTACTTTATTATTAGGTGGGTTTTATCGACTGTTGTGGGTCGCATCCTGGGGTGTGGTGTACGGCATAACTTAGACAGCCTTTCTAAGTGGCGGATCGTAGCTAAAATTAGTGGAGGTGCTGCTTCAGAAAATTTTTAGTAATTTTTTAATATTGTGGATTTGTTTTTATTTTGCCACCGAAGTGGCTAGTTTATTGTGCAACCCCATATCCATATGCAAGAGCATATGGATACACAAAAGGCCTAGGAACTAGGCCCAAAAGGGTTAACAGGAATACATATGGATTTATATCAACATATCTACAGTTCACTTATCTGTTACAAGCAAATTTAGGAAATTTTCTTAGTATATCTGGTATCTCATTTTCATTAATAAAATATCTTGACATGTCACATAAGTTATTATACTGTCTACCTCTGTATTCTTCAATAATTGGACAATTAAGCACATAGTGTTCAAGACAATGATCATATGCCTGATCACATAATAATTTGCATTAAGTTTGATCATCATCTGTGTCTCTCCCAAACTACCAGAAGTACTTGTAACCAAGTCTAAGCCTGGCCACAGCAACATCAGTCAGTCTGTTCACATTGCAAGTTGCTTCATAAACATACTTATCTATGTTCATGTTATCATAGTGGGTTATAGATCTACTCAGGCTTCTAACTGCATTTGTGTAACGATCATTTTCATTATTTACTCTCCTAATATTATTCCTAATGTAGACACAGATATGCCCAAAACTATATTCTACATTCTTTTAATATTGTTTAAATAAAATAACCGAAAAAAAATACAAATTAAATAATACAGCTGGAAGCATGATAATCATCTAGTTTTAAACTTTATCACATTCAAGAATATGGTACATGGCTTTTAAGAACAACACACGTGTCACAAACCTACTGGAGTTCTATGACAAGGTGACAGTTGTAAGACGAAAAAGAGAATTGGGTAGATTGCAGTTTCTTGGACTGTAAGAAGGCGTTTGGCACAGTTCCACACAAAGATTAGTGCAGAAGCTGTTTGGACCAGGCAGGGGTAACAGGGAAGGCACTACAAGAACTGCAAGAAGCCCCTATGACGTGCTTTTAACAGCCAATGGAGAGGGAGCATGGACACTGGGGTCATCCCACAGTTACTAAAAAAAAACAGACATAGCCCCACTCCACAAAGGGGGCAGTAAAACAATAGCAAAAAACTACAGACTGATAGCACTAACATCCATATATAAAAATCTTTGAAAGAAATCCTAAGAAGCAAGATCGCCACCCCTCTAGATGTGATGAATGGTTTAGAAAACCCATAAGTTGAAGAATGAGACACTTATGCAACACATGGGGAAACTTTATTGAAGAAACGTTTTGCCACACAGTGGCTTCATCAGTCCAATACAAAGTAGAATGGTAAGGAAGGAAGTTTTTAGGTAAACAGTTTCCCCCAACCTGGGAAACGATGTGTTCAGTCCTCACTGTTGTAGGAAAAGCAGCTAGGGCCCGAGAGGGGTTTTGC